TTGAAGTTTTGGATATAATTTAATTTGATTGCTCATTTCTTTTTTTTTTTTTAAGATTTTATTTATTCATTTGACAGACAGAGATCACAAGTAGGCAGAGAGGCAGGCATAGAGAGAGAGGAAGGGAAGCAAGCTCCCTGCTGTGCAGAGAGCCCGATGTGGGACTTGATCCCAGGACCCTGAGATCATGACCTGAGCCGAAGGCAGAGGCTTTAACCACTGAGCCACCCAGGTGCCCCTGATTGCTCATTTCTTAAAAACCTCTTACTCTATGATCTCCACGGGCCAGATCCTTCTGCCACCTACTAAAGAATTCTTAAAGTCAGGTATGAAATACAAATTTACATTTCCATACAAAAAATTTACATAAGCTTCAAGGACATAAATTTTCCATTAACTTTTAGGAATGGATTGTGCAGACAGAAAGCTAAACTAAACAACTTACTCGGGATTGCTTATACTGTCTTCGTGCTGCCTTGACCCTTCCACCCTCTTTACTGACACCTGAGTCATACCTTTACTTGGTCATAAACCCATCTATTTGAAGGGACATCAAGTGTCATACAAACAAATTTCAAAACAGAGCGATTCTGCCACTTGTTTGCAGGTCTAACAAAGAAGTGGAAGGAACATTACTAACAAAACTGAGGAGAAACAGTTGGAAAAAAATATGGACGTTTCATTTAGAACATCTTTGTTATTCCCAGTGTACATCAAACATATTTAGATATAATTAACCATGTGCTATTCCAGACCCCACTGGCTACCTAGCAAACAGTCATTTCCCCCTTCTTCACTCCTAAGAAAAGCCTGATGCTTTTTCAGGTATTGGATGATTAGGCAATTTAAGAGATGAAAGACTCATCTTCATTTGTCTATGCTAATGATGCTAAGTAATCCCATTCATCTTGCCAACAGTCATTTTTGGAACAGACCTGTGATAGACAATGAACTGTGAAGGGAAATCTGCTTCAGGTCCTTCTAGGGGGAGCTTTCTTCCCCCTTAGAAAAGGCATTCCCGGGGCACCTGGGTGGCTCAGTGGGTTAAAGCCTCTGCCTTTGGCTCAGGTCATGATCCCAGGGTACTGGGATCCAGCCCCAATGGGGCTCTCTGCTCAGCAGGGAGCTTGCTTCCCTTCCTCTCTCTGCCTGCCTCTCTGCCTACTTGTAATCCATCTGTCAAATAAATAAATAAAATCTTCAAAAAAAAAAAAAAAAAAAGGCATTCCCTTTCCCATCTCCAGGTGCCCTGAAGTACAACAGTGATCTTTTAACAAGGTAAAGTCAGTTTAAGAACAGCAACATATGAGGATGCAGGGCAGAAGGATGTGACGAATTCAACTCCTGATGACCTCTTTAAACTAATGAATTACCTAACCCAGAAATGATTTTATCTCTAGGCTACTTCTTTTTTTTTTTTTTAATTTTATTTTTTATAAACATATATTTTTTTCAGGGGTACAGGTCTGTGAATCGCCAGGTTTACACACTTCACAGCACTCACCATAGCACATACCCTCCCCAATGTCCATAATAACCCCACCCCCCCAGCCCCCCTCCCCCCAGCAACCCTCAGTTTGTTTTGTGAGATTAAGAGTCACTTATGGTTTATCTCCCTCCCAATCCCATCTTGCTTCATTTACTCTTCTCTCTAGGCTACTTCTTAAGTGAGAAAATTTATTTCCTTTAGCACTTAAGCCATTTTGAGTTTGGTTTTCCTGTTTCTTGCTGTAAAAAAAAAAAAAAAATTCAAAGTGATTCAGTGCCAAGCACAGTGGTCTAAATGGGCACATATTATTGAAACAACTTACAGTCATTCCCCATACCTAATCTAAATGTAAACGATTATACTTTTTAAAGGAATGTGTGAAGTTGTGAAGTAGTTTCACTAATATAGGAGGACAAAGTGACATGCTATTTGGAGATCTGGCTACGGAAATATTTTCTCTTTTGCTCATGGAAAGATGCAGCCTTTTACTCCTCTATGGTTTGTGGCCCTATGACTTCTGTCTTTTTCTCTAGAAAGTACGTAATGATACTCTTTAGATCAGCCACTGGTTAAAGTCTACCTTGGTGTTACTTTAGGAAATCAACATGATTTAAACATAATTTTTCTTTTCTCTCAACGAAAACAGAATTTTGATATTGCCTTTCTCTGGTGGAGTCCTAAATCCTGAATAAGGCCTGTATAATGGAACTCACAAATATTTTTCTGATTAATAAAAATGATTCCAAAGCTGAGCTTTAAAGTCTGGTGAAATCTAAGTAAATTGTACAAATACAGACTCAAAGCACTTCAAAGCACGGCTTATAAAAACCAACATTGTGGTACATCTCTCCATTGAGTTCAGAGATTGCCAAGTTAATGATGAGTTTTTTCCTCCTGATTTATAAGAGTTATCCTGGGACCTACGTTTCTGTGTAAAACAAATGCAGCACTAATTAATAATGAAAGCAGCTCTAGGGCTCCGTCACCATGGCAGTAAAGCTCTTGTCTAAAACCAGAACTGTTTCCTTTACACTTTAATGGATTAGATTTAACTTACTTTCTATATTGCTCAATGCAGTTTCAGGGCATATGCATGCTTAATGAATATTTGATGGTGACTATGACTGTACATAACGTATCTTAGTGTCCACAGGAAAATGATAAAACATTCTAAGGTATAGTACTCTAATAAATTTATATATACATACATACATATATATATACACACACACACACACACACACACACATACACGTACATATATATAAATTATATAACAAAAGAGGAGTCATGCCTTTTCATACTAATACTTTGTGTTAAGAAAACTGGAAATAAAAGATATAAGAATTAAAATCTATTATCTAATATGTTCTAACAATCTATATAACATTTCTATATAATACTGTGCTTAATCCTAACCATAATCCTATGGATTGTATTGGAATTCCCACTTCCTGAATCTAAGATGCCATCAGTGTGTGATGAACCAATATTTTACATATCAGTAGGAAAAATTCAGCCAATGAAATTATGATATATCATATGTAAGATACACCCCGATTTTAAAAAAGCCAAAATGTAAAAATAACATGTATCTCAAAAATAATAATAAAACATGATACTGATCAGAAAATTCACTCAAGGCATATAGCCAGTTACAGCTGTGGTCAAGACAAGCCAGTTGTCCACCAGAGATCCTTGTTGCCCTTTCATAGTGTAGCGTTCCTGTGCAGAAACGGCTGTCTAGTCAGAAATGACATTTTCCACTTTCCTGAGTTCTGACCAAGAGAAATGTGGCATAATCGATGTTGTCACTTCCAGGCCAAAGTAGTAAAGAAGCACAAGTCCTTTTCCCATCCTCTCCCTTAAACTCTTAGTTATGTTAATGACCAGGATGATCTTAGAAACTACCTGCTGAATATGGAAAAGATTCTGTGTCAGCCTAAGTCCCTGGATGACTGCAAAGGACAGAGCACGCTCCTCCCCCCACAATACCCCTAAACCCATCTTGCTTAAAACAGGGACTCCACATCTGCCTGGACATGAACAATAAGTAAACTTTTACTGTATCAAGCCACTGTAATTCAGGGCTGGTCTGTTGTATCAATTGGAATTACTCCACAGAGAGTAGCAGAATTAGAATTTGAATGTCAAGTTCCAATGCCTGGGTTTACTCTGTGGTATCATGCAAAGACAAACCTCTAAAGTTACCCCTTCCAAAATAAACAAACAAAACAAAGCAGGCATAATTGCTTCATTTTAAGCAGATTTCATCAGCTGTTTTGAAAGAATGGGCAGAAGTCAATAGATTTAAGAATGACGAATTTCAGAGAAAAAGTCCAGAGAGGGACAAGTAAATTGTGTGTATATAATAGCACAGAGGTGAGAACAAACAAAACAAAATATGAGGGAGTTATTTTCAAAGTGGGAAACGGTGACATATGTATGCTCTCTCCTTTCTGTCCTGTTTCAGTTTAATACAGTTTCAGTTCAGGTAAAGAAGATCCAGGCACTTGTTATAATCCTAGCCTACTAGGGGCGCCTGGGTGGCTCAGTGGGTTAAGCCTCTGCCTTCAGCTCAGGTCATGATCCCAGGGTGCTGGGATCGAGCCCCGCATAGGGCTCTAGCCCCACATAGGGCTCTAGCCCCGCATAGGGCTCTCTGCTCAACGGGGAGCCTGCCTCCCCTCTCTCTCTGCCTGCCTCTCTGCCTACTTGTGATCTCTGTCAAATAAATAAATAAAATCTTAAAAAAAAAAAAATAACCCTAGCCTACTAAATGGTTTACTGTCTGAAGCTAAACATAGTCTTGTGACTTAGAAGAGCCTGAAGAAAAGGAAAGGGATGAAGGAGCAGCTTGACCGGTAATGGATAAAAAGGAAGGGAAGGGACAGAAAATGGGAGAGGTGACAAGCACGGGTTCTCCATTCAAGACAAAGTCACGAACCATGGCTTCACTATTTCTCATCCTAGAGTTGGTGATCTTGGGCAATCATTTAACCTCAAGGTCACTTCTGTCAACTACAATGGTACCGTAACAGAATGTACCTCACAGGCTCTTATGAAAAGGATGTGAGACAATGCATGTATGAGGCTCATCCTATCCATGAGAACACGCTGAATACTAGTTGTTACTCTGCTGGCAATCATTATTAATCATTAGCTTCCTCTCCCACCTCATAGCAAATAGCCAAGTATGCTTTTAATGTAAATCTCTTCTACAGATAAAAAGTACAATTCCTTAGGAGAAAGTCTGCCCTCCGCTATGAAACCCACTGAGGTTAAGAGCCTGAGGAAGTTTTGGCTTCAAATGAACAAAACAACAACAACAACAACAAAAATTGTTAACATGCCTTGAGGGAATGATGAGAAGGGAAAATATAAAGGTATGTTTGGTACAGGATACCTCAAACATCAGTTTCACTTTATTGCTTACATAAAAATAGCCTTTTTTTTCACTTCACAATATAATAAGAAATAAAAAAGAGAATAGCACACACAGAAAACTTACCCTTTGTTTTTCATTTGAACCCTTTTTATTGGTTTCTTTTTTGCTTTCATCTTCATATACTAGAACAAAGTCAATTCTTCGCTGACCGTCATTAAAAAAAAGGGAGTTGGGTTTCCCGTTAAATTCTTCCTGTGTGGGGGAAAACAAATTTTAACATAATTTTTAAGTGTCCATTTATAAGTGTTTATTTTCTAGTTTTAATCGGTACCTCAGTGTGTTTATAGAGAAAAAGAAATCCATTGCTAGTTGCTTAACCAAGAGGTCAAGGTCACCATGATCTTTGCAGGCATAGCGTGTTCTAAGTGAAAGAAGTCCTTAGATTAAGCAGTTTAGGATCATTCTACAAACACATGGGAATTTATCAGTATTTCCTGTGTAAACACAATCATCTCAGAATTGTTCCCTCCTCGAGCAGCAAAGGAGTTACCACTTTGTAAATAAACAGTAACCAGAGGTACCTATCTGAAGTAGAGAAGTTTAGTTTCTTCTTCTTTTAGGAAGAAAAATCAAAGACAAAGCACCGTTCATGAAAAATCTCATCCTTCTTAAGCCATATTTTCTAACCTTTCTCACGGGACCTCACCACTTCACAGAAAGTACCACTTTATAACATTAAACATGCACCAGATGACGCTCTGATAAACACAAAAGCTACAGTGGTTGTTGGTATTTGTTCCTGAATCCACAAAAGATACCCTTCCTCGCCTAGCAAATAAAACAAACAAATGACCCCAGCGACAATCATAAATAAGTGAGTCTTTAGTTTAGAGCTTAAAAGCCTTATGGCTTAAAAATAAAGAAATAATGGTGCAACACAGACCTAACAGCGTTTAAACAATCTTTATTACCATGTGGATTTGAAAAGAATTGTTTTAATTTGCTCTAAGCAAAGACTTGGGTTTGTGTTTCTCACACAGTTTGTGGGGACGCTGATGTGAATTCTGTTGCTGTTGAAGAATCAGACTACTTTTTAACTGATATGTAACATTTCTAAATTTGTAACTTTTTCATTAAAAACTCATGGGGGGATGGCATTTTGTAGTCATTTGGTAGAACCACTTAATCCCTAAATGCGATTAATTCTTCTCTGTACTTTAGCATCAGTTCATACAAAAATCACCGCCCCTTCTTCCTTTCCTTCACACTTTTGAAGAGACCTTTTGCTGAATGTATATAAGATACTTGTCATTCCTTTCTTTTCCACCAGGGAGTGGGTGATGGTTTACTTGCCAGTAGTCACACCGCCTGACACTCAATGGGTTGCCTCACCTGTGGAGCACATGCTGCTGGTGTAACCTCATTCCACACACCTTCACACCGGTCACACTTCACCAGGGATTCTAACCACCAGCAGTGTGACTTCCCCAGCCTGAGCACGGTGGAGCCAGGACAATAGACACATCCTTGCCTTAGGCTGGGGCCACTATCGATTCTTTTATTTACAATTTCAGCTCTTTAACACCCATCGACTGTAAAAGTGTTTCAAGCTATACAAAAGTGCTAAAGCCCTGTCTTTTTCATTTCAGCCACAAAGTCCTTTGGGCTCCTTCCATTTCTCTTCCTTTCAATAAAGAGGTCATTATTGGTGACAGCCAGGGTGGCTGCTAGGGGAAAACTTTGTGTAGAGGGGAAAGAAAAAAAAAAAAAAGAAAAGAATAATTTCTTCAGAACGGCAAAGGGGAGGCAGAGTTGGGTGGAAGAGAGTCACAAGGACCTGGTCACCATTACAGACGTCTGAAAAGCGTACAAAAGCCACTTGTTCTCTGTAGCCCACGTTCTGTTGCCTTTGGTGGCATCCAGCCGGACTCACTGACATGAGGGTCCGAAGCATGAGACCGGGAAGGAGCACCACATCTGCACATGGCTCCCGGCACTCCCCAAGCACGGCCCTAGCTTGGCCACACAGACCGGAGGGCAGCTCCCACGTATTCTGGTCTGTATGCATGTCTTTCATGGGTAACAGAAGACCATGGCCCTTTGTTTGGAGGAAAGCCTCAGTGACTTGGCATCAGCCGTCTGTATGAAATTACTAGGTCAAACTCTGATATGGTATTACTGGAACGCAATGCCAGGGAAAGGAGGCCAGTTTTCTGCTGCTATGAAATCCAGGTTTCCCATCTCTTGGCAGAAGATTTCCTACTAGGCAATTGGGAAGAAGGAGGAAACAACGCAGGGCTGGAAAGAATAGGTTACAAACAAGAAATCTGGCCTAAATTTAAAAAGACTGATTTATGAACAAAACTGGGTCTTTTTAAAGGCTGGATTTTTCAGTAATAACTCTACTACAGCCCTAACTCACCCAATAGGACATTGAAATAACAGAGAATTAAAAACTAATTCCTCTCCTAAAGTTTTGCTTTAATGAAGTAAAGTTTTAGTAATCTCTCAGGATAAATACTGATAAACTTCTTTAAAGAATGACTATTTGTTCAGTGATGAATTAGTCTAGTCCTGACCTTTCTGCCTTTCTTGGTCCCTACTCAAAACCTGATCTTTATGCTTTCTGACCAAGTCAAATGGCACCAAGACAAAACACAAAAACCCTGAAAGCACACATTATTCTGAAGAGGACATCTGGATGGCCAACAGACAAATGAGAAGATGCTTACTGCCATTCATCATCAGGGAAATACAAATCAAAACCACAATGAGATACCACCTCACACCTGTCAGAACAGCTAAAATGAACAACACAAGAAACAACAGATGTTGGCAAAGATGTGGAGAAAGGGGCATCCTCTTATACTGTTGGCGGGAATGCAAGCTGGTGCAGCCACCCTGGAAAACAGTATGGAGGTTCTCCAAGAAGTTAAAAATAGAGCTACCCTAGGATCTGGCAATTGCACTATTAGGTATTACCCAAAGGACACAAAAATAACCAATGCCCTCACTGGTCCCGAGGATACTAGATTCCACCAATCGAACATTCATTTACTCATTGGTGGCCATGTGACCTAATGTTATACTTTAAGTTAAAGGCTACAGGGGTTTAAAAAAAAAAAAACCATATTCATTTGCCATTATATCAAAACCCGTGCTGCCAACCACCAAGGAACAGGGGACCTGACCACCTCTGTCTTTGGCTGTTGCCTTTGACATTTCATGCTTGGGATGCAGAGGAGACATGCTGGTCTGAGCAGTAAGAACCTGGCTGCGGAGAAGAGGAGAGCAGATAAGAAGGGAGGTCTGGTGTGATCATGCAAACGATGTTATCCAGGCCTCCCTCCTCTCTGCTGGCTTCTTGCCTTCTTTTACTTTGTGGGGCGGATCCTTCAACAAAAGAGCCCCAGAGGGCAGGATCTGCCTTAACCAAATCAGGATAAAAAATGCAAGCAGCAAAATTCTGTGCCCAGTGCTTTTAAGCTAGAGTTGTGAATTTAGGAACTTGAAAAAATTTTGCTATTGGCTAAGGGGTACGGATGGGTATGAGTCCCACCCCAGGATTCAGTTAAGACCTCGTACTTACTATAGGACAAGAGACTGAGAAAGAACATCCTATTGGACAGAAAGACAAGTCTGAAGATGAGCATTTTCCAGTAATTATTTGGTAGGAAAATTTCTCATAAGCAATCTCTGGCTTAAATAAGGCCTTAGCCTTCTTGATGAGAATGCTGCTGGTATATGAAGGGTCATACGATGGTGAGGTCTGTCTTCTAGGTGGAGAAAGAAGGGCTCGGTTGAGACAGGAGCTGGGGAGCCGCAGTGTGAGTGGCACTGCTCTGTTCTAGGTGAGCGGCCCATCTTACTAAAGCAGCCTCATGCGATCCCTGTTATCAGCACTTGGCAAGGCCGGGAAATAATTTGCTGCTAAACATTTGTCCAATCTCATCCTTCTCAAGTGTCCACAAATTGGGTCCTCAAATAACCCTGCCAAAACAAGATTGGAAGTCCTATTCCACAATAGAGGCATCTATTCCTAGAGCTTAAAGTGCTGAATTTAAGTTTTTGTCCAAGATCTACATAAAAAGCAGTCCAACTGGGATTTTTGCTCAAACTTTCATGTGTAAGCATGAGTGAAACCTTCCCTGGACAGCAAGTGATATCTGATTTTATGTCCAGAACTGTCAAAGAGTGTTCCCAATAGGGCTGTCATTTACTATGATATTGGAGAGTAGTCCAAGCTTATTTGGGTAATGGTCTCATCCTTTATAAGAAGCAGGATGCAAGAGAGATTTAATGCCTAACAATAATGGTTGAGGAATTACATCACGAAAAATAAACAGTATCAAAACACTCACACAACTAAAGAGCAACTGATATGTGAATGTGGAAAAAATGTGACTCTCTGCCATCTTTAAGACCAGTAAAACAAAGCTAACTAACTCCAAGAAGGACACAACAGGAAAAAAAGCCAACTTTAATCACAGAGAACTAAAGTGAAAATATTGGATCTTCTAATTTTTCAGTCAACCCTGAATCCATGCGCATAGCAAGTTCTAGGGAAATCGAAGTTCAGAAGCAAAAGCCTTTATGTAAATATTTAGATCTCCCAAAATATGGAGCACAGTGGAATTTTATTTACATGCCATACAGTTACGAGATATACTCTGAAGTGTTTTCCCTAACTGTAGGAGAATTCCAGGAGATTCAAAGCATAAATAATAGTGGAACCTCCAAATTCTTTCCTTCTATGAGATCTCCTCTTCCGTCTGCAAAATAGTGAGAAAATGCGAAGTAGAAATAAAAATGCCAAGCCCTGCCGGTATGGAAGGCTTGATGCCGAAGGTAGAAAGACTGGTATTGTGGAAAGTAGCATGGAAAAGAGGAATTGACCTGTTCACAGGGATAAGGAGAAATACGTGGACACACACGGGAGCCAAACCAGAAGTCAGGTCAGTTAACTGGTGTCTTGGAGGAGATGAGCGAGCATGTTTTTGACTGGACTCAGGCATTCAGGAACACTAAAGGGAAGGAAGTCAGCAGAAAGAGGGTCTGTTCCAGGAGGAAGGCGTATCCAGAATAAGGACTCTGGTTTGTTTCAGAGTCAAGCACGTCAGAATGTTCCACAAAGATTCCTTGATGATGATGCTGTAATGATCCAGGTGTACTCAAGACCGACCCAGAATATTTGTACACACCAGTCTCCTTTCCCACTCTGTTAACCTCTGAAGACCAGTGGCCACATCTTG